AGGGTTGTTCAAGTAATTGCTTCTTGTAGTGTCAGTTTCACTTCTACAGGTCACCTTTTAGGTGCTCTCTTAGTTATCACAGATCATGGAGAATATATGGTACTTGCTCCTTTGGGACTGGCTTATTTCCTTAGGTATGATTTTTTTCAGATTCATCCATTTTGTTGAAAATTACTGGATTTAGTTTTTTTTAAACCACTGTGTAGTATTCCATAGAGTACACATCCCGTAGTTTCTTTATCCAGTATTACATTGATTGGCATTTAGGTTGATTCCATGTCTTAGCTATTGTGAATTGAGCTGCAGTAAATATGGAGGTGTAGATGACTTTATTTGATGTTTTAATTTCCTTTGGGTAAATTCGGAGAGTGGAATGGCTAGGTCGTGTGGTAGGACTATATTCATATTTCTGAGGGATCTCCAAACTGTCTTCCATAGTGGTTTTACCAGTTTGCGTTCCCACCAAAAGTTGATTAGGGTACCTTTTTCCCCACATCCTCTCCAGCATTTGTTGTTTGTTGATTTCTGTATGAAAGCCATTCTAACTGGGGTGAGGTGAAACCTCATTGTGGTTTTGATTTGCATTTCCCAGACAGCTAGTGATCTTGAGCACTTTTTCATGTGTCTGTTGGCCATTTGGATTTCCCCTTTTGAGAAATGTCTGTTTAAGTCCTTTGCCCATTTCTTGCCTGGATTCTTTGTTTTGCTGCTGTTGAGTTTTTTGATTACTTTATGTATTCTGGTTATTAAACCTTTATCAGTTGCATGGTTTGCAAATAATTTCTCCCATTCTGTTGGTTGCCTCTTTACTTTCCTGACCATTTCTTTTGCTGTACAGAATCTTCTCAATTTGATGTATCATACTTGTTAATTTTGGCTTTTATTGCCTGTGCTTCTGGGATCTTTTCCAAGTACTTTTTGCCTATACCAATGTCTTGCAGAGTTTCCCCAATGCTGTCTAGTAATTTGATAGTATTGGGTCATAGATTGTCTTTAATCCATTTTGAATGGATTTTTGTGTTAGGTGTAAGGTAGGGTTTCTGCTTTATACTTCTGCATGTGGAAATCCCAGCACCATTTTTTGAAGAGACTGTCCTTGCTCCAGGGAATGGTTTTAGCTCCTTGGTTGAATAGAAGTTATTGTACATGCGTTAAATAGATTTTTGTGTATATTCCAGAGAAGACAATACTATAATGAAAATATGAACTGTCTGTAAATTTCTGCTTTCTGGTTCAAGTCCTATCTTAGTGGGATTTGTGCTGCTGTGAAATGATACCTGAGGCTGGGTAATTTATAAAGCACAGATATTTATTTCCCAAAGTTCTGGAGACTGGGAAGTCTAAGGCTAAGGCACTCATACCTAGTGAGACCCTTCTTGCTGCATCACCCCGTTGCAGAAGGCAGAAATGCAAAGCAGCACCTGCACACAAGTAAGAGACAGAGTTGGAAGGGGGTTGGAGAGAGGGGTGGTTGCTGAAGGGAGAGGCTGAACTTGCTTTTATAACAAACCTGCTCTGGACATAATGAAGTCACTCCCACAATTATGCCATCTATACATTCATGAAGGCAAAGCCTTCATGACTTAATCATCTTTTAAAGGTCCCACCTCTCAATACTGTTGCATTGGGAATTAAGTTTCCATTACATGTATTTCATAGGACACATTCAAACCATAGCAAGTACGTAATGTAGGCCTGATTTGCTTGATGACCTAGAGAAAAGGCTATATTTTACACAAGGCATCTGATGATCTTATATAGGCTGTTTCCTCTGACCTGATAATGAAGAATCTCTTTCTCTTTTTTCCCAGTCAGGAGTCTCATATTGTTATCAAAACCTAGCTTAATAGTGATTACCTTATGGGGAGTTAGAGGGATTAATGAGATTTGAATTTGTATCCTGCTTTCTTCTGTGCATTCACTATGAGTAATAATAATTAGCATGATGAGAACATTAGGAAAGTTGTTCTACATCTGTTGAGACTTTCTCTCTGCTCTTTCTCTCCACTGTCATTTCTTGCTTTGATACCTCATATCCCACTACCTCTCCTTCCTGGTCTGGTCTTTCATGAGGTCTGATATGTATTGCTGACATTTTCCAACCCTTCCCCAAACCATTATTAAAAAGTCTGTTATATGACAACTTATCAACATTGAAGGTGGTAAATGACTCATCCTTCATAATTTAAGACAGAGCAGATAGCAGTGAGCAGAACAGTGATCAACTAATCACATGACCTCATTTATACAAGGAGCTCTACCACTAGGTGATTTTTGTGAACTAGTAATTTTCCTGGACTGTACTTTTCTCATGTATAAAATGTGGGGCTTTCTCTGGATTAATGTTTCTGTAGGTATGTATGTACATTCTGTATTGCTGGTCCTGAATATATTGCATTCATTTGAGAATTACTGTATATTACCTTCTTGAATATTATAAGGATTTCTCTGACATATCTTGAGACAAAGGAACAGTTTTTCTTTACTGGAAATTGTTTAGGGGGGAAACCATGGCATGTGGGTGGTTCTCCAGACAGTTCTCTGAGGGTATCTATAGTTTACCTTTCTTGGGGGCTTGGCTTCAATTACATGTCCCTTTACCTCTAGTGATAACAACCATGGGTATAAAGTAGGTCAAGAGCTTCACCTCTCAGGCAGTAAGGATGGAATAAGGGAGAGGTATGAATAACTGTAGTATAGGATGACATTTGAGACTAAATGTATGATCAAATTCTAATGGGTACGAGAAAGAAGTAAGTTCTTCCCAGAGTTTGGAGAGAGGATGAGGAAGGAAGACTCCACAGGGGCAGCACTGTTTGAGCTCCGTGTTGAGGGGAGTTAGCAATAATTCACCAGGCCAAGAGACTCAGCAAGGATAGTCTAAGCAAAAGGAACAACACGGCACAACGGTGTAAAACTTCAAGGTATGCTCTGTGGTGGGTTTGTGAAAGAATTCTGTGGCTATGAAACCTAGGAGTAGACGCTGCCTAGGAAGAAAGGAACAGGAAAAAGTCTTGGAGGTGGGTGCCATGTGTTTTAAGTGTCTTAATAAGAAGCCTGAAATTTAAGATATAGTTAAAAAGACACCATTCTTAGGACAGTTTTTAATCAGGGGGCTTTCTTGATCAATAGGTGTTTTATAAAAAGAATTATGGAGAACTGAGGCAGATTGGGAGTGGTGAGTGGAGAGGCTGGCAGGGAAATTAATTATGATTCTATTGAAATGGCGCTAGTAAGAGATGATAAAGGACTGAATCATGACAGGGGCAAATGGATGAGATAAAGGAAACAGAAATAAAGGAAATTTAAAAGCTTTTTAGACCATGGGGGAATGGTTAGATAATGAGGAAAGAAAGAAAGAAAGAGGAGTATAAAATGGCTCTATAGTGTATAGCTTGGGCAAGTATTGTATGATTATATAACTTACTGGGATAGGAACTCAAAGGAATGAACTTTTTCACATAGATTTTGAGTTGGGTTGGGAGCTGTATTGCATAGGGTCATTTTCCTATAAAACACACCCATGGTTGTTGTGTTTCAGAGTTCAAGAATGATTTAACTAAAGACTGTATTATTTTCAAGAAGATTTATTTTCTACTAGAAAATATATTCCAAACTGAAATTTAGTAGTCACAAGATACATTCTTGTCAGTAGAACAGTATTTAAGTCTATGTTTTTCTTTTATATTTATGTATATGTGATAAATCTTTATTTTTTGAATTATAAATCCATTTGGCTTTTCACTTAATATAAAATTCTTTTTCCTTTCATCTGTGGTTTGTACTACATATACTAATATCTCAGTAGACATTTATGCCTCCATTTTCTAGGATAAAATTGCACAGAACACTGACAATATTAGTGATAACTGAAATATTAAGCTATTATTTTTGGGACTAATCCCAAGTTTGGCTTTTAGCATGAAATTTTATCATTGACAATGCATTAAAATATATTGTTTATACTGAGGGAGTAGGATTGTACCTCTGTGAAAATTAGAAATAAATATTCTTTTGGAAGAACTCTATCTTTGCTTATTGTGTGGAATTTTTCACAAATTTTAAAGAAATATTTTCTAATAGCCTTTTGAGGTAGAGAGCTTTCTTAAAATTATTATTTAGAGGAATAAGAGATCCTTTTGAGAGGTAAAATGTGGAACCTAGCATGCTCCAGGTTATTTACATGAAGTAGTCCATAGCTTCCTCATTAGGTCCAAGACTTTTGCTTTTACCTGGGACAGCTGCCTTCTATTAGCACTGGAAGCAAATTGTACAATCTGTGTCCAATGATCCATGACCACCTTCTCATTTAGGATTTTCTTTTCTGTCCAGAAGGGCCTAGAATTCAGAAACTGAGTTGGTGGAGATGTATTGTTGCTAGAAATAATTTATCAGAGGAAAGAAAAGACTGTGTTTATCTTTCAAACAAACCAAGCTATGAAACTTGCTACACTTTATGAAGTGAGCACAATAGTGGTAGTCAGAAAGACTCCTGAGAACACTTTTTTTTCTTGTATATCGTAAAGAAATAAAGATAAAAAAATAATGTTCTTATTGTGATAGGAAAAATCTCCATCCCTCTCCACTTGCCACAACTGTGGTGCATTTAAGGCAGCTCTGTGGAATTGTTTTGAAATAAATTGGAAGCCCAAAAAGGCCCGTGCATGTCATGGTTGATTCACTATTCTGAGGTTAATGATAAAAGGTTACTGTATCTACTCCTGGAGATTGGACTGATTTTTGAATGTATTTTTTTGCTGTTAGAAGAAATGTCACCTTCTTGAGAAAATACAGTGCAAAATGAATTGAGACAAAATGTGCCTTACCTCAGAGCAATACAACCTTATTTCCCTGCAGCAGATACAGAGGGCGGGGAAGTCGGGCTGTGCTTTCTGAAGTCCAACCACCCAGTATCTGGCTGTGCCATTCTCTCCCCTGATCCAGTGCCACTCCCTTAACTTGATATCTGTTTACTTTAGAGGAGGCCGTTTTTAAGAAAGGATCGTAAATATCCTGGCCAAGTGCCCCAAAAGCCATGACAAGCAAAAAGAACATACTTTCCTGCAGATAAGCATTGGTGCTATTTAAATGTGTGGGTTAATTTTTTATCCACTTCAGCTTCCCTGCTTTCTATTTCTTCTCTGAAGCCCTGGGCACAGGAACCTGTGCAGGCACATTATTGCAGAGCATATTGCAGGACAATCCTCTAACGAATAGCTGCATTCACGGCATCTGGATTCCTGATCCTTTTGTAACATGGCAGGTGTGAGTGGTTGTATAAAATATTCCATGTTTATCTTCAACTTCTTTTTCTGGGTAAGTGTTTTCCTTTTAATTATCAATTTTCTGCAAGAAAGGGGATCTTGATATCATAAACAAGAACAGATTCTGCACTAGAGAAATAGGAGGAGAAGGAAAATGTATCTTCCATTTACTTGTTTGGATTTGTTTGTTCTTGCTTTGGATATTTCAGTAATTGAAAATGAGCCAATGACTCAAAAAAGTACACTTAGATTCTGTGAGGATAAACATTTCATAAATGTTTTGATATAGTTGCAAAAACAATCATGGAGGAAAAACTACCCCTTAATTAAAGGACAATTATTCTTAGTTGTATATCAATCAGGCCTCCCTGGTTTAAGTCCCCTGTGGGAAAAACATGGTCTGATCCATCCCTTTATGTCTGGATTTGAAACAGGTGAATAGCATGGCATGGAATGATAAAGACATGAAAAGAGGATCATTTCCTGACGACCTCCCCCCCCCCCAAAAAAAGCAATAGATCATAAAAAACTTGAAGGGGAAGCAATTAAATTATTTTATCATAAAAGGATTGAATTAAACCAGTGGAATTATATTGGCATTTTTGGAGTTAGGACTTTTTTTTTGGTTAGGATTTTAATATCATCCCCTCTTTAATAAACTAATAAGTAACATCTAACATGTTGAAATGGGAAAAATGGAAAAGGCACATGGGACGTTGGGAAATTGACTATCATTTTTAGTGTATATGGTGCAATTAGAGACTGTTCAAAAGCAAATTATTGGAAATAACCCAGAACACTTAGATGAAAAAAGTTTTGAATGATGGATTATGCAGTACAAGGAGAAACAAAACCTCCTTTTTTTGGAATATGTTATCTGTATGTTTTATACCTGTTTGCCTATGGTAAGCAGATAGCTGGTATCTACACAGTGGTGATTTCTGTCCAATTAAAATAATTCTTTAAAAATACCTTTTTAAAAAGGTAGAATAAATACTTCTTACTTTTTCACATTTCAAATTGATGAGTTAGCTTTCTATTATCATTCGAAAGTGATAAGCTGGTACTTCTTTACCTATCCTTATGAAATGAGATTTTATTACAATTCTTATTCCTATTGATGTGTTTCTTGTTCCATATTTGGAATCACAACATAGAAGAAAAATAGTGGACTTAATTAAACTTAATTACATAAATACAGATTCATTGTACAGAATGACATTCCAAATGATCAGCAGTCCCAAAGTACACAGATGATATATTTAGGAATTAAATCACTGAAAATATAAACAAAATAAAGAAGGAAAAAGGTTTATCATCTTTTCTTTCTCCTTTTCCAAGAAAAAAAGATTGATTATATCAATTTCAAAAAATTTTTCCTGAGAAATTTCTTCCCTTGATTAAGCAGTGAGAGTATAATGCCTTGGCTTTATTTCTAATTTGATATTATGGAGAACTTCAAATGTTCATCAAAGAAGATAGAATAGGAGAATCATCTATCACCCAGCCCTAACAGCCATGGAAGCATGGCCAGTTTTCTTCCATTAATACTTTTGAAGCAATCTAGATAGGTCATTTTACCTATAAATATTTTAGTATATGTTTCCAAATGATAATTCTTTTAAAAGTATAAGCACACGCCAGCGCCATGGCTCACTAGGCTAATCCTCCACCTTGCGGCGCCGGCACACCGGGTTCTAGTCCCGGTCAGGGCGCCGGATTCTGTCCTGGTTGCCCCTCTTCCAGGCCAGCTCTCTGCTGTGGCCAGGGAGTGCAGTGGAGGATGGCCCAAGCACTTGGGCCCTGCACCCCATGGGAGACCAGGCGAAGTACCTGGCTCCTGCCATTGGATCAGCACGGTGCGCCGGCCGCAGCGCGCCAGCCGCGGCGGCCATTGGAGGGTGAACCAACGGCAAAAGGAAGACCTTTCTCTCTGTGTCTCTCTCTCACTGTCCACTCTGCCTGTCAACAAATTAAAAAAAAAGAAGTATAAGCGCAATATCCTTATAATGCTTTAAAATTTAGTAACAGTTCATGATCAGCGATCAAATAGCCATCCAGGGTTCAAATTTTCAGTTGGCTTATAAATGTTCCTGTGTGAGTCAGGATCCAGATGAAGTCCATACATTGTCATTGTTTGATACATCTTTCATGTTAATTTTATCTATAGAATCTCCCTCTAAGTTCATCTTTTTATTCCCTCTTCAAGTTTTAAGTGCTGACATGTGTGTTTGTCTTAACCACATTTTCCAGAATCTGGATTTTGCCGTTTGCAGAGGTGTAAGTTTAACATGCGCTCCCATCCTTTGTACTGTCTTTTATGTTAGTAATTGCATCTGGCTGCTTGATGATATTCAGAGTTTGTTTTGTTTTTTTGGCACAACTGCTTCATAAGTGATATTGTGTTCTTTCATCAGTAGGCACATCATGTTTGATTGTTTTACTTTTTGAGATGTAAGTAGCCATTGATGCTAAGTACTAAAGAAAGTATTGATTGATTAAGAGATTCAAATTGGTGATATTCTTCTTCTATCAACTTTTCTTAATATATAAGTATTAGCAATAATACTTTCAATAATAAGAAATTTTTCATTTACTGCTTGGTTACCAGTGATACGGAACTTTTATTTTTAAAAAAAGTAGCGTAAGAACTTCTTTCTCATTTTTCACTTGTTGAATTTCAAAATAATGAATCACACCGAAGTGATAAACTAATATTTTTAAGTACCCTTTATGAAATGACAGATAAATTAACTTTTTATTGATGTGCAATTTATCCATCTTTGCCTAGTGGAGATTCTTCAGGTTGACTCCTGAGACCTTGTGACATAATCCTGAACTTGCCTAGTTCCTGCCCAACCCTGGAATCAGCAATTTTTCCAAGATGTCTTTATACTTGTCTTTATAGCCATTGTCTTTATATGACACAATATATATCACCCATGTAAACCAACCAGGATGTTCATATACTAATAAATATATGGTTCCTATTATTAAGATGCCTTAAAGAATCTAAACTGGTAGCAATCTTTAGATTGTGAAATGGTTTAAATATATTTTTGTTGTATAAAGACAGCATGCAAAGAGCTGATGGCTGTTGTGAATATATCAAAGGTCAGTGTTTCATAAATAGTTAATCAGGAATTTGGAATATATCTGAATTTTATTTTTAAAAAATATTTACTTATTTTACTTGAAAGGTAGAGGGACAGAGAGAGGAGATACATGGTGAGGGAGATCTTCTTCCCTTATGTTTACTCCCCAAATGCTGGGCCAGGCTGAAGCCAGGAGCCAGGAACTCCACCTGGGTTTCTCACATGGGTGGCAGGAAACTAAATTCTGTTGCCTCCCACATACATAGCAGGATGCTAGGTTGGAAGCAGGGCAGCTGGGACCCAAAGCGGCACTCTGATGTTGGATGTGGACTCCCCGGTTGGCGGCTTAACCCATTGTACCATGACTCTCACCCTAGTCTAGTTAGGGGATGTTTTACAGATTCAGTATTGCACAAGAATACTTCAGAAATTTCATAGAAGACATTGTCTAAATAAGATCGGAGTTGGTGAACTCAAAAGGCTTCCATAGCCTTGGCAGCTCATGAAAAGAGCCTCGGGTGATTACTGATGTCATAAACAAGAGTGTCAATTGTTAAATCAACAACAGGAGTCACTGTGCACTTACTCCCTATGTAGGATCTCTGTCCTTAATGTGTTGTGCTATGTGAATTAACGGTATAACTAGTACTCAAACAGTACTTTATACTTTGTGTTTCTGTTTGGGTGCAAACTGTTGAAATCTTTACTTAGTATATACTAAATTGATCTTCTGTATATAAAGATAATTGAAAATGAATCTTGATGTGAATGGGATGGGAGAGGGAGTGGGAGATGGGATGGTTTGTGGGTGGGAGGGTGGTTACGGGGGGAAAAAGCTGCTGTAATTCAAAAGCTGTACTTTGGAAATTTATATTTATTAAATGAAAGTTAAAAAATTCATAGGAAAGTGGAATTAGTAATATGAGTTTGTTTTGATGAAAAAAATTCCACAATATGTGGTAAATGTGTATTATGGAAAAATTGTGCATGAATTTTCAAAAAAAAGATTTTAAACCAAAATAAATTCACCTTTTTAAATTTTTCCACAAGATTTTTGAAGTACTATTGCATATTCAGGAATCAGAGTGAGTTGTAGAGCTCTGTACCATGGTACACCAGAAATGATCACTGCTTTCCTGAGAAATTATGATTGATTTATCATAACCATTCTCTGTTGACAAAGACAAAGTCCTTCTGATGGTGTAGATCCTAATTAGATATTTCTGATTTTCCTGGGAGTTCCTTCCATTAGTATATGTGGTCAGGCCTACAAAGCCTGTGTAAGAAATCTTGAAATTGAATCACTCTTTCAGCGAGAGCAAGAGTTATAAAGGCTGCTAGTGACAATTTCTTAGCCTACAGGTGACATCAATATTTTAAACCAAAATGTAGATGATAGAATCCCTGCAGTTAAAGAATGTTCCTACTTCTACTCTCTTGTCTACCCCCAACCTAGAGTCTTCAGTTGGAGTTTTACAGTCCTTCACAAGAAATTAGCAAGTTGTCACATTCTCAATGTTTACTTAACCAAAAATTTTAACGGTCCCACTGATGTGGTTTTCTTGTAGATGTCCATAGCCTTATGTTTTCAAATGCATTCTTTCTGGTGTAACTTGCTAAGCTAAACCTTTGCAAAGTAGGGCCAGATGTAGAAATATCTCTAAGATGTGCATATGGTTATTTAATCTAAACATACTAGTTTCTTCTGGGGAAGAATTTGTGATGTGCCACATAAATATGCAGTAATATCCAAGTGTTAGAATTACTAATTGAAGAAAAACATGTGAAAGTAAAAATTACTCTAATCTCTTAATGCAAGCAGTTGATGCATGTTGGAGAATTGGATGCCCTGTTGTAATGTTATTGGTACAAAATCTGTTTTCCTGCCTTTTATGTTAAAAACAAATGCAATGCCCACATTTTCCTATGCCTCTCTTAGATACACCATGCTGATAGT